AGCTCTTTCAGTTTAGGGGGATTCCGCAACGACGCTGGTTGACCATGGCAAAACGGTCAATGACAGGCCCGATGTCAAAACAATGGATGGAGGCCAGAAGCCTTCAATTCACTGACTACAAACAATTCAAGGCCGAATTTTTAGCTACTTGGTGGTCGCCGGTCCAACAAGGACCGATAAGGTGCAGCCTGTATCAAAGTAAATACGACAAGGGAGCGGGTTTGTCCTTATCCGCCCATTTTTTGAAATACGTAAATTTAGCGTTGTATTTAGAGCCCAAGCTAACGGACAGTGAGATTATTGAGGCTGTTAGATGCCACTACCCCCCAGAAACCCAGAGGTCACTGGCGAGCAATCGGTTAAGCACTATAGCTGAGGCACTTGAGGTACTAAAAAGATTGGAGTTGATAGAGGAGAGGGCAACGGCTCCTACAGCGGAAACCCGGATTGCCCCAAACCGACCAAGTTCTCCCCCAACTGGAATGGGAAATGATAGATATAGGGGGCACCCTCCAGTAAGACAAGTACAAGAGTACACCCCTAGGAATAGAGGCGGATAGCGCAGTCCCCGAGGTGGAGGATCTTATATGGGAAGAAACGATAGGGTGGAAGGAGAAAGAGTTAGGGAAGAGGAGGTACCGAATAGGGACCAGGCCCGCCAGGAAAGAGAAAGGGACCCTAGGAATAGGCGGCAGGGAGGTCCTGAGGAAAACCAGAACTGGGAAGCCTTGAGGACCGAATAGCTTCCGTCATTAGCGAACAAAGAAATTTAGGTCCACCAGATAATTCAATAATAAGGGATGAAGAAGACAATGAGGAAGGAAGTTCCGAGCCGATGATATTGTTTATAAATGAGGAAGTTTTGAGTAAGAGTCCCCAGGTCAAGGTTAATTTTGGAGACGAACTGAGTCTCCGGAAGTGAGGTTAACCTAATATCACAAGAAGCTTTCGATAAATTAAATAACGTTCGAGTGAACTTATTGACGTTGCCAGTGCAAGGGGTTAGTTTAGTAACCTCTTTTGGGAAACGATCCAAGAAAATCAAGTTACAAACTTTGCTGGAGTTTAATGTGGGGAATGACAAGTTTGAAGCTGTGTTTTTGGTTTCCCCGCAACTTACTAATGAATTGATATTGGGATGCAGTTTTTTGGAAGACTATAAGATGCAATTATGTTTTGATGTTGAGGCGTTGGAGTATGCAAGGGAAGGGGAGAGACGGAGTTTTAAGTTCGAACCCGAGGGGGTCGTTGAGAATAATGAAACAGAATTGTCAGAGGCTGGTACTATTAAAGAGACAGCTGATGAGGAAACACCCTATGCTGATATGAGTTTTGAGGAAGCGAAGGCTGTTAGGATAACTACAACAAGGAACGCGAGTTTAGATAAGCCACACTCGCAACTGGAGGAGGCAAGCAACGCTAGCTGTCGCGCGGTAGGCTTTAGCGGTAGTCAGCAACAAGGAAGTTTGAATCCCGGAGACCCTAGAGACATAAGTAAGGAGGAATTATTAAGAGTAGTGGGACAAAGTGTACTCTTGGACCCAGAGCAAAAGTCCCGGGTGTATAATATGACCAAGAGGCCGGGGAAATGTCATTTATTGAAGTATGAATTTCAGGTAAAGTCGGATCAACCATTAAGGTCGTTTTCTAGACCGGTACCTTTCGCGTTAAGACTGGCAGTAAAAGCCCAAATCCAGAGTATGATGCAGGATGATATCCTAGAACTGAGCCATTCCGACGTATTAAACCCCTTAACAGTAGTTCCTAGGGAAGGGAAGAAACCTCGCATATGCGTGGGCACTAGGAAAATAAACCAACACACCGTGCCAGATTATGGAAGGGCCCCCTCATTACAGGAGTTACTACAAAGATTTGAAGGGGCTAGGTACTTATCTTCACTAGATTTGAGTTCTGCCTACTTACAGGTGCAGCTGCACGAAAATTCTAGGAAGTATACCGCCTTCCTATATGAATCTGTAGTTTATCAGTATAAAAGGGCTCTGTGTGGATTTAAAAATTCATTGTCTGCCTTTATGAGAGCACTTAGGCTAGCCCTAGGGGATGATAGAGAGAGTTTTGTCACTGTTTATGTTGACGATATTCTAATTTATTCCAGGACTTTTGAGGAACATTTGTTGCATCTGGACATAATTATTGGGAAATTAACTGGAGCATGATTTACGTTGAACGCCCTTAAGTGTAAATTTTGCACCAAGGAAGTTAAATTTTTGGGACACAGGATTAGTCTGGAAGGGGTATCTGCGGATTCAGATCGAATCGCAGCAATTTTGAACTACCCGCCTCCCAAAAATCAGAAGCAATGAAGGCAGTTCCTAGGAACGTGCAACTTCCACAACAGGTTTATTTTGAGATATTCGGAGTATGTGGCCCCATTATTACCGCTGTTGAAGAAAGGAGCAAGATGGGTGTAGACTTCTGAAATACAGCAAGCACTTGAGCGGTTACGGAGCTGTTTCGCTAACAGCCTACATTTGGCTCACCCATGCAAGGGCTTACCCTACGAGGTTTATACCGATGCGAGCAAAGTAGGCATTAGTGCAGTGCTAAGCCAAAAGGATGAAATGGGCAAAATATCAATAATTTCGACAGCCTCCAGGACGCTGATCAGTGTAGAGCAGAGGTATTCAGTTTGCAAACAAGAACTCTTAGCCGTGCTATATGCCTTAAAGAAATTTCGAGTATATGTTGTCGGCTATCCAATTACAGTTTACTCTGACAATCAAGCTTTATCCTTTTTAAGAAAATTCAGTTTAAGATCCGACCGTATAACTCAATGGGTGATGCAACTACAGGAATATGACCTACAGATTAAGCATGTCAGTGGGGCAAAGAATTTTTTTGCCGATGAGTGAAGTAGAAATCCTGTGGGTTTAACCCCGGAACTACGGAGGTCACAACAGGAAAAGCTAGAAATAAATGTAGCAAAGAATGATTTAGGAATTAACAAAGGTGTGATTAAGCAATTAAAGGATTTAGTAGGAATGCAACAATCCGATCCAGTTTTGCAGGGTATTGGGGATAAAGTGCGATTAGAACCGGCCACCCATGTTGACAAATACTCCTTTCAGCTAGGTATATTGTGTATGTTGTAAGAACGCCATGCTTTACCCGTATTGGAGGGTGATGATTCCGAAGTGTTTGGAGTTACAAATTATAGAATATGCACACCAGTTTTGGGGGCACCAGGGCACAGATAGATGTTTTAATCAGATTGCTTCTGTGTTTTTCATTAAGAATTTAGGAAGTATATTGCTGGTTGTGACATTTGTCAGAAGACCAAACACCCCAACAGAGCCATGAACACTGAGCAGCTGGCTCATTTACCCATGGAATCAGGTGAACTAGTAGCAATAGATTTGTATGGGTCATTACCAACTGGTCCAGGGGGAATGAAGTACTTGTTAGTTTGTTTGGAAGTTTTTACTAAACACGTGTCGTTATACCCCTTGAAAGCAGCTACCACTAAAAGCTGCCTTCGGAAGATTACCACTTGTTACACAGAACGAGTTATTAAACCCAAAGCCGTATTATCTGACCATGGATCCCAATTTACCAGTCCCCTATGGCGAAAAACCCTGCAGGAGTTGGGAATTATGGTTAAATATTCTCCCATAAGACACTCTCAAAGTAACCCTGCGGAACGAGTTATGAAAGAACTAGGTAAATATTTTAGGATCTACTGTTGCAAAACTCATAAGCAGTGGCCTGAATTAATACCTTATATTCAGACCTGGTTAAACGAGTCCATTAGTTAAGTTACAGAATACTCACCTATCGAACTTTTAGGGGGTGTAGCCCGAAGAGAACTTTTCAAACAAATCATCCAAAAATTGCTGGATAGGCCAAGGGAAGATTTGCCCAATAAGATTTTGAAGGCCTATGCCAGGATGAAGGAAAGGGCGGAAAAATGGAAAAGACAGGGAAGGCCTGCGAAAAATGAATGGAAGCCTCAAATTGGTGATCAGGTGTTGGTGAAGGGTGAACCAGTTTCGAGTGTGGACCGAGGTATGATAGGAAAATTTCAGAGGCCATACTGTTATATATGTGTATATGTATTATGCCAGAGTTGTATATGGGAATACCTGGTATAAACTGGGGTATATTAATATGTATATAGGGAACACCTAGTACGTAGTGAGCTGTTGTAAAAGGTAACTGACTTAATAGGGATTATTGCAAGTGAGATGCTTAAATGAAGGAAGGTGCACAATTAAAATAACTACTTTAAGTACATGAATGAAGAGAGGAAGAGACTATAAGATGACGAAATATTAAAAGATTGTAACTCGACCTCTCACCCGTAATATCATACCAAAATGTACTTGTTTTCAACCAGAAGACAATGACAATCATGCACTCCACAACCTCATAAATTTTGTCAAGTTCAATCAAAGTCCAGGAGGGTCGCACATACTGTAAGCAATAGAATGTTCTGGAAGTTTTCAAGCTGATGCAATGTAAGTTTAAGCTGATGTAATGTATGACGTTATTAGAGAATTAATGAGGAAGGAATATATACCCCCGACTGGGCGTTACGAGACGCTTTTTCGATCACGACAGTCTACGATCCGTCAGGACTGATTGTCTGATAGAGGAAGTCGGTGGCTGCCCAGGCTCAGGCAGTGTGTAAAACTGTTGTCTTAACTGTACATTTTCCTGTAAGAATTGCATTTTAATAGTTGTACATTAAACCACCTAGCTCTACCTCTGCTGTTGCTTGAAGCTACCCCGTACTGACTCCCGAGGGAACCGTTCGCCCTAGCCAACCTGTCTTGCTACTGGGATACAACATCGATTCCAGGTGCGGGATACAACAATACGAAGGTCCTTTTTGTATTAAGAAAGCTGTTATTCCATATATGTATGAACTACAAAATGAAGCTGGAAAATTTAAAGGATTGTACCATTTGAGTCATTTAAAACCTTATGTGCCAAAATGTCAAGAGTTGTAAATAAATAAATAATAAAAAAACCCCTCTTGTTTGATTAATCGGAGCCAAAGTAATATTAATTAGAAATAGTTTTGATCAATTGGTACAGGCTATTTAAAGTGAATTGCGAAACCTGTGATCCTTACACTGAATGGGAGTTGAGAAAGATTGCTGTACAGAGCTGGTACACTAGAAAGGCAGTAAAGTAATTGGATGCGCCAGTAGAGAGAGATAGTGTTCCAGGAATCAAGGGGTGCCCTGGAGATAAGCTAATATCATACCACTGTTTGCTACGAGTGTTATTATACAGGATGTTGCTTTTAATACGTTGTGACTAATTTGTAATTTGGATCATCTGAAACATGAAAAGAAAAAAAAAAATTTTCCCCTTTGAGTTTAAATTTCAAGGATTATTGTAGTTGTTATGGAGATTATTATCATGAGGTGACCAAATGAGTTTTCCCTTTATATTTTATATATACATATAAAGCAAAAGCTCAGTTGGGAGGTTGTGGCCGGTTTGTTTATAGCTACAAGGAATTAAATATACTGGAATTGCAAAGCATGGTACATGAGCCTGAATTGCACTCAGAAGGCTGCTTTTGACTGGGCGATTTGAAATGTTTGCAAATTCCGGGATTGACAGAGACGGAAAATGTCTCGTGATTATGAGTGTTGAGAAATTAAGCCGATGGTGGCGTTAGCGCCTAAGGCCTTCTGGTGGATGGCGCAGTCAGGCTTGTGTGGATGCTAGTAACATACGCTGAGTGACAAAGGTATGACCGGTTTGGCCCTCGAGTATTTAAGCCAGTAGGCGGTGAATTTAGTTGTATTCATGTATTGAAACCAAAGCAGGCTTGGTTACGCCCTCCGGAATCAGAGAGAGAGAGAGAGTGTGTACAAAAATACCAAATTGCAATAACCAAATAAATAAATAACTTGGTGCTGGTAACTACAAGGCTCTTGTTTGAGCGAGGCCTGCAAAGACCCTGAGAAGGTTTTGCGTGCTATATAAAAAAAAAAAAGTTGGTGACACACCTAGTAGCCGAGTGTGTCCAGGTAACAAGCGGGACGATGGAAGGCGACCCAGAAGGCAGCGGGGCGTGCGACGAGTATAGCTGCCAGGGGCTAGCAGCTCTACCCAGCTCACATCACTTGGTTGCGGAGCTGGGTGGGGCTAGCAGCTCTACCCAGCTCACATCACTTGGTTGCGGAGCAGCGGAGACGAAACGGCTACAGGTGACACGCTGCAATGATGATATTTGCTAGGACACCTATGGGCAAAATAAAGAACTGTGTGATTCCAACTTCAGGAAATGCCTCTACACAGCATGTGAAAGAAATGAGGTTGCGCCTGGTCAGACAGTAGGCAAAGGTATGAACAACATGCGTAAAGGGACACCATCATTAAATCTTCTGCCTTACATAAGGTATAAGGTAAGGCTGCCCCTGTGCTTGATTAAGCACCATGCAGTGAAAACTGGTAGTGGAGTGGAAGTAAAGCTCCACACATTCTTAACCTTGGCACTACATAGATGTGAGTGGTCAGCTTCATGCTCCAGCTGCTTTACTCCTGAGGAAATGACCTGTGATACTCATTGGATAGGAGGCTGGAAAGTACTTTATTGATTTCTGTGTCCACATATTCATTATTTTAATGCTTTTTTAGACGATGAAACACTCATTCTTTGAGAGTTAAAATTATAGTGTTATAAACTCTTGTGAGTAGCCCAACGTGGACTTTGAGTCACAGTTCTAGAACTACTTACTGTACTAGAGGCACAGTATTTATTGTATTGAGAATACAGGTTAAAACAATATTTTGGAGTTCAGTATCATGAAATCTTAAGTTTATTCACAGTTCAAAACTTCTTAATTTTTATGTTACATTTGGGATTCTCATGTTTGTTACTGTGAAGGGCTTGGTCTTTTGGGTTGTAACTCTGTGTATTTCAGAGAGAGAGCCCAAAATAGTGGAGGAACATAGGACCTCCATCTTCAGGATGAAAGAGTAAGCCAAACAAGAAACGAACAGAAGCAAGTGCAGGTTTAACTCACCTCAGTTCCTCGAAAACTTCAGTCTGTCACCAACCCACATGACATAATAACCCAGAAGGCTTCTAATTTTTGTATTTTAATTCTTTTAGGATGCTGAGATGAACCAGTGTTGTGAAAATGGTAATATATTTTGAAATTGATTGTACTGTAAATGTCAAAACAAATCCTGAAACAAATGAAAAAATGTGTAATATTCATCTGCATGATTGGTATGACTGCGTAGGAGAACCAAGCTACTGAGCTCTCCAGCTCTGTTGAAGGGATTTGACATTTTGACATTTCATTTGTTTTTCTTCTTCCTGAAATAAATTTATTGTGCTAGTCTTTTGTTCATATTGTAACCATTAATGTAAATAAAACTGTTGTAAGAATTACAGTACCAAAACCAGTATTCATGACAATGTTTGAAAATTTTGTGCAATTAATTTTGAAAAAGTTTTGAGTATGTTAATGTGTTTTAAACTGAGCGGGAGGGTGTGTGACAGTTTCTCATCAGCTGGTAAAGCATTTGCTCCTGCAGCACCACCTTTTCACTGTGATTGTGTTGTATTATTTATTGTAATTTCATTTTGTAATGTTTAGTTCCTTGTGACATGACAGTTGAGCATGCTGCCTCATATTTGTCTGTTTGACTTGTAACCGATCTGCCTACCCCAGCTCGATTTAATCTGGTAGAATGTTTGGATCCGGGTAAATTAACATATTTGGTTAGGTCTACTTGCAACATACCGCAAATGGACGAGAAGCACATAGGCTATTTCTTCTCCTCAAGAAGGAGTTTTAGCCCAAACTCTCCAGTGAAAAAGAAAATAAAAGAGAAAACGACGACCCAAGGCAGAAGCGGAACAAGAGAAGAAGACCCCTCGCAGCTTGGTTCTTTAGGGAGTCACATGAAATTTTACTTGTCTGTATCCTTGGAGAACACAATAAGTGACAGTTTTGAACCCATAACTCAACAGATGAGTGGTCTCCCAAGCCAATCGTAACATTTGTCAAGCTACTGACAGATTTTACATTAAGTTTTAGCGCCTAAATTCCCTGTAATCCCTAAGCGGATTGGGGGAATACTTAATCAGGGTACTCCCATTTTTTGAAAATGACCAATCCTCATAATTTCTGGAGATGACTTGTGGACCGAGGCGACTCCGAGAGTTGCGAGGAGAAGGCATTCAGGGAGTTGTATTAAATATCTCAAAACTATTCGGGAGCAAATTCTGCAAGGGGAGTCTATTCAAAATCCCAAACGATCCGGACGCAAATTCTAAATGAGAAGGCATCCAAGGAGTCTTTTTAGCGATCTCAAACCTCGTTGCCAGAAGTTGAATGTAGTGTGTTCGTGTCGTCCACTATGGACAAGAGCTGAATAAAGAAAGTGTCTTGTGCAACAAAGTGTGTGTGTGTGTTGTAACACGAGTTCCCACTTCCATTCCTGAGCGAGGACCTGCCAAACGGCCTGAGGACTGAATCTAAGCTCTACCGGCAGAACTAGCTACCCTCGACAGCTACCCCCTTATCCATCCTTCACACCTCCCATAAATCTGTAAACTGATGATAGCAGTTTACTGGCGCCCAATTCAAACCCATCCCCGTAAAGATCAGAGATCTGAAAATAGGGTAAGTTAAGCAGGGTAAAGGCAGCGGTAGCCGCCGTCGCCCGTAGCAGTCCAGCAGCCAGCGGCTGAAGACCAAAGACGCTCAACGTAAGGGTTAAATGTGGATTAAAGCAAAGATGGTGTCAAACGTGTAGACGACGATTAGAGACTACAGCATCCTTCCAGCAACTGTATATACTTACATAGTTGTGTGTTTTGATGTAGAGTGATGCATGTGTTTTGTATGGGGCTTGGGTCCCTTGAGCAGCAGAGGTATATTGTATAATTACTACCAAAGCAATAAAACATATTGTGATAAACTGCTGTTGATTATTCTCAAAGTTTCATTTTTTGCACATCTATCCACTTAACATATTTCATCTCTGAATGGTTTAACGAATTTTAATGAAATTCGGTATTTTTGAGTGTCTGCATTATAGTGATCAGAATAACTTAATTTGAAGATGTGAGGTTCTTATGGTGGTGACTATGAAGACTGCAGTTTAGTACCCTTCCATATTCGGGAGGTCTCAATTTATAATCTCAACCCAGACATCAGTTATTCTGATTCATGTTTTCCCTGGTTTTCCTTATTCCCTATAGGCAGATTCCAGGATAATAACTCAGATTAAGATAGGAGTGCTCCCATTTGCTTCCTCTACAATTTATTCTTCACCACTTCTACCAGCTGATGCTGTTTAGTCTGAGTGAAATAAACCACAAACAAAATAAGAATTATTTGTATCTTTTACAGCAGACGATCATTTTTTTCCCTTGCAGCTGCTAGATACAGTCCATGGTTACAGTTGGGAAGCAAGATTATAATAGGTGTGTAATAAGTAAGTTTTTGGAATTAAGTAAGTACTAATACAAGTCAAAAGGTTATGTTGAAGTCCCAATGAGGTCACTGGATTTTCTTCAATTAACGTAATCCTTCCAGCTGCGCTATGGCCCTGAGGTTGACTCAGCCTCTAACAGAAATGAGTACCAGGAATTAATTAAATAATTCCCCTGGGGAGTAAAGCGTGGCCGGTGTGTAAGGCTGACAACCTTACCGCCATCTTTGAGCCGAATGTCTACATAATGTGGGACCCTCAACGTCTCACAACCCTATGGGCCTTCACGGCCTCTTACATGTATATCTTTACTTTTACTTTTTATTTACTGTTATGCACTGAGCAACATCTCTCTGGTATGTAAGATTTGAGGCTTTCACGGCGGTGACTATGAAGAAAGCAGTCTTCTGGGATTTGGCGCCGTGTATATGTGGTGTTAACCGACGTTTCGGAGGATCGTATCGCCTCCATCTTCAGGGTAGAAGAAAAAGTGTAAGAATTCTGCAAGCGACAAGACCGTGAGAACGGTAGACACATTCTGTGTCTACCGTTCTCACTTACACTTTTTCTTCTACCCTGAAGATGGAGGCGATACGATCCTCCGAAACGTCGGTTAACACCACATATACACGGCGCCAAATCCCAGAAGACTGCTTTCTTCATCTCTCTGGTAGCTCCTAAACGTCACGGACTGTATTTAAACACCTCTTAATTTAACTTAATGTACAGCAACCACTTTCCACTTACATGCTTCCTTTGTGACGCCAAGAGACACGTGCCCCCACGCTCACTTTCTAGCAACCGTCCTGCTGCTCCCTGGCGAGCACAGGCACCACCATGTCACAACCTGAGAGATCCCGCCCTCAAGCGGCCACGGCTCCAACTACTTAGAATGGCTGCACTCAACATGCCGCCCACGTAATTTAAGCTACAAATTAGTTAACTAAGCAACAAGTCTCCACACAAATGAACACATCGGGTGATTCCCTGGGCACCCAGACAGTCCTCATCACTCACATGATGCGATCTGTTAATTTAGTTCGTCTTGGAACGGACAAATCTTCGTTATTGGCCTTGGGTAAGACCCCTTGCTGGTCCGCACAGTCACTACACGAACTAGGCCATCAGCCCCAGGATGGGTCTCCTCAATGACGCCTCTCGGCCAGGTGAGAGGAGCGTTATCTTCCTTCAGGAGCACCAGCCTTCCTGGTCGAAGATTAGGCTGGTTCTGCAACCACTTGGAACGCTGCTGGAGCTGGCCCAAGTAGTCTGCCGACCAGCGCCTCCAGATGAGCTGCCGGCACCGCTGGACCAGTTGCCATCTTGACAGATGTGAGGATGGCCTGACATGACAATCTGGTTCAGGGAAGGACATTAAGCGCTCACCAAACAAAAAATGCCCTGGAGTAAGGAACGCACAATCACCAGGACTGCTAGGTATTGGAATTATGGGCCTAGAGTTCATGCATGCCTCAATTTGCGTGAGCAGTGTGGTCATTTGTTCGAATGACAAAAGAGTGTTACCAGCTACCTTCTTCAGGTGAGTCTTCACTGATTTGACACCCGCTTCCCATGGTCCGCCGAAGTGAGGGGAGTGGGGGGGGATTAGATGTCACTCCATCCCTTCTTGAACTGCATATCTTGATATATCAGAAAGATGATCCCTTGAGCCTAGCAGTCGAGACATCTCGCTAAGCTGTCGTTTCGCTCCGGTAAAATATGTGCTGTTGTCACTGTACATCTGACTGCAGCGCCCATGTCTTGAAATGAACCTCCGTAATGCAGCAATGAAGGCTTCAATTGTCAAGTCGCTGACTAGTTCAATATGTATGGCCTTAGCCGCCATGCACACAAACAGGGCTGTATAGCATTTTCTCTGGGTTCTACTTCGAGGATTACCGTATTTCACTCGCAAGGGTCTGCCATAGTCCACACCACAATGGAAGAATGGCTTGCTTGGTGTGACGCGAGGTGCAGGCAGATGTCCCATTAGCTGCCTGGTGGCCTCGGCCTTCGTTTTGAAACGTGGCACACTTTCGGATCACTTGCTGACAACCGAGTGGCCATTAGTTATCCAGAATCGCAGTTGCAGCGATGCTAGAAGAAGTTGGCTTCCAGCATGCAGCAATCGTATGTGCTCATTCCACATCAACAGTTTGGTCACATGATGTTTGGATGGCAGGATGAGGGGGTGTTTCTGATCAAAGGGTATGTCAGCATTCTCCAGTCTACCGCCCACCCTCAACAGGTTGTTCCCATCCAGGAAGGGATGTAACATCAGAAGCTTGCTGTGAGAGGGTAATGCTTTCCCTTGCTGCAAACTCTGGATCTCCTGAGCAAACGATGAGTACTGTGTAATGCGAGCAATGACAATCAGCAACTTGTGAAGCTTGGTAGATGTCAGCGGTCCATGCCGGCCTGATGCTGCACCTTGTTTCAGCTTGTAGAGGAACCTGAGAACATAGGCAAAGACTCTTTGTAATTTTGCCCAACTGGAGAATCGCTCGAATAAGGATTCTATCTCTGAATAGACGGTGATGCAGCATAGCTTTACTCCTCGCCGTTTGGGAACCTTCTCGGGATCTGCTGGGGGCTGTGCTGGCCAGGAAGGTCCCACCCAACATAGCTGACTGCCTTGAAGTCGCCGTGGGTCCGTTCCTCTGGAGATGACGCCCGCAGGGTTGTCCTGTGATGCGACATGTCTCCAAGCTCGGTAAGCGGTTAGCCGTTGGATCTCCGCGACTCTGTTGGCCACATATGTTTTCCAAGTTGACAAGCACCCAGCTATCCAGGCTAAAACATATGTGGAGTCCGTCCAGTAAAAGCGTTGAACAATTTGTAGGTTGAGGGTCCTATGCATCTTATCTACTAACTGGCTTAAGAGAAGGGCGGCGTTCAGCTCCAGTCTTGGGAGCGACACCTGCTTCAATGGGGCCACTCTTGAGTTCAAAGATAACAGATGAAGTGTGATGGTTCCGTTTGGGCTTACGGAACATAGATAGACACATACCCCGTAGGCTCTTTCTGAGGCATTGGCAAAGCCATGAAGTTCTACAGTGATGCTTGTGCCAACTGCTGTGATTCTTCTGGGTATGCTAATCCTGTTGAGATCAGGCAGTCGTTGGTGAATTTCCTCCCAGTGCGTGGCAAGTTCTGAAGGCAACCTCGAGTCCCAATCCAGCTGTCGTTGCCAAAGGGTTTGAATGAATAACTTACACTGTACGATGACAGGTTCTAGTAATCCCAATGGGTCGTATATGGACGCTACATTAGCCAGCATCATTCTCTTCGTCCATGTCACATTCTTGTGCCTGCTGTCCACCACGCTGAATTGGAACAAGTCACTACTGGGATACCAGTGCAGTCCAAGAGTCTTCACTGCGCCCTCGTCAAGAGGAAGATTGCAGGTTCCCTGTGTCTCCTGAAGTGCGGCTGGAATGGCCTCCAAAATGTCTAGACTGTGGGATCGCCACTTCGGAATAGGGAACCCTCCACTCTTGAGCAATGATGTGACGTCGTCATAGAGCTGGATAGCTTAACTAACAATGTCTGTTCCTGTGAGCAGGTCGTCAACATAGAAGTCATTCTTAATTACTTCAGCTGCAGTTGGTTGTGTAGGTTGACCGTCACGCATCGTGTTGCCAGAAAAGGAGCTGCAGCGGTTCCGTAAGTTACGGTGGTCAGATGGTACATTTCTAACTGTTGACCTGGATGACTTTGCCACACGATTCTCTGGAGGTCTCTGTCGTCCTCATGCACTTGAATCTGTCGGTACATTTTCTCCGCGTCTGTGTGCGAAAGCGTAGTAATGTGGAGAACAGATCCTGCTGGATGGTTGGGCCTACCATCATCAAATCATTCAGCGAGACTGACGAGGTGGCTTTTGCTGATCCGTTAAAAGACTACTCTAACCTTGGTAGTGCTGCTTGTATTCTTTACTACCGCATGATGAGACATGTAATAGCAAGACCGATGCTGGTCAGTAAGGTCAATGAGTTCCATGTGCCCCAGTCGCAGGCACTCATCCATAAACTTGACATACTCATTCTTCAAATCTGGGTTTCTCAGTAATTGCCTTTCCGTGTACCCAAAGTTCTGGCTAGCAGTGGCAAGGGAGTCCCCAAGTTCTCCAACGTCTTGCTGTAAGGGTAGCCTCACTCTGAATCTGCCTGCATCATCACGGGTAACAGAGTTTGTGAAATGCTCTTCACACATGCTCTCTTCCTTGGACAGGTGGCGTGTCGTCAATTCTTCTTGCAGCCAGAATCGTTCCACTTGTGCATGCAAGTCATGAGTTGTGGTTAACAACGAGGTTGTTGCCGTCTTCCGTTGTCCCATGGAATGTGCAGGTATACATCCTGCCAAGACCCAACGGAGTATTCTGGAGTGTTGGGTGGCCCTGCCTGGATTGCTGTTCTGGCCTCAACACTTCAAAAAATACAGTTGCACCTAGCAGTAGATCTATGGCCCTTGGTTGGTAGAAGTGCGGATCTGCGAGAGGAATGTCGGTGGGCAATTCCCATCCTTCATAGTTGATTCTTGATGACGGTAATGATCTAGTGATCAGCGGCAGTACGGAACATACAATGCGCTTGGTGTAACTTCCGACGGTGGATTCGATCTGTAGTTGGCAGAAGTGAAGGGATTCCGTTGCCTGCATGTTGCTTATACCATTGATGGGGACAGAATGCTGATTTAGCTTGAGGCCCAACCTGTCCGCTAGGTCTCGAGACACCAGATTCATTGCTCAACATTGATGAGTTCTACCTTGACTATCCTTAATATTGACAACAGCGGTAGACAAAAGAACGTCCTTGTGAGGGGAAGCACGCCTTGATGTTGCAACAATGTTGTCTGTATTCTGCTCAACATGTAACAACGTGTGACGGGGTTTGTTGCAATTCCTACAGCTTCCTGAGTTGCAACTGTTGGCTCTGTGGTCACTTCGTAGGCAATTGTAGCAGAGGTTATGCCCCCCCTTACAAGGCTGATGGGACTATTGACGTTCAGGTTCTTGAATTTCACACACTTGTGCAGACTGTGTGAAGACGCGCATAACGGACAGGGGTGGGGGATGTGGTGACAAAGGATCGTCGCTGTCCTCTCAAGCTTGTCCCATGTTTCAAGTCCTCCTGGGCTCCCACAGCAGTCTTGTTCGATGAGACGATTTCCAGGGTCTGGCAGTTACTCTCCAGAAACTGAATAAGGTCCTTCAGGCTGGGGTACACTTTGCTTGAACTACTATTCTCCCACTGCTTCCTAAGATTTAGACTGATGCGCTCCAATATCAAGTGGAACAGTATGATTTTATGTAACGGTGTTTCGATTTTCAAAGCCTCCACTGCATTTAAGTTGCTGCAGAGTTGATTGATTAGTAACCTCAGCTCCTTAGGAGAATCGTGCCTTGCATTTGGCAGTCATTAATTCCTAGATATGTAGATCTGAGATGAGCCGCGGATTATGGTAACGACCACGGATCAAGTCCCACGCAACCTTAAAGTTGTCTTGAGATACAGGCAAATTTTCTATGAGATGGTGTGGCTCTCCAGTGAGGCATGATAATAAGTAATAATATCTCTGAATGTCTGTGAGCGCATAATTACTAACAATCAATGCTACAAATGTGTCGTAGAAATGCGTGAAATCTTGCACTGCACCACTGAATTTAGGTAGGGAAATCGTTGGAAGCTTCACTATGGTATTATTGATCACACTTCATTATTGACAGATAGGGGGCGGAGAAGGGGGTTCGGTGCACAATAGGGTTTCCATTTTCGCTTCGAGCTCTAGGCACAAATCATCGAAAGCTGCCCTGTCGGTTTCGTGCGATCCATCCTCAGGTGCGTCGATTTCAACTGTAATTGTACATCATTGTACTCATTCACCAGGCTGGACAGTAGCAGTCTCCTAACCTTGATTTCGTTCAGATTCCCACCGACTTCCCACGCAATTACAATGGAGCTTAAGTGAGTCACGCGTGATTTGATGACTGCTCGTTTCTTGATGAAGGCACGTTTCTGATTGTTGTCCATGTTAGCCCAGGAAATACGAAGGAAGGTTTGTGATTTTGAACCAGATTGTACTTACCAGGTCATGGCTGTTGGCACTGCATCACTGCGGCCCCTTGTTTCGTTGGATAACGAGCACATTGCACATTGACACACTTGCACAGTTTTACTGATATACGGCCTGGAGGACCAAAAAATGTTGTACGCTGATGCTATCACACACGCGTCCCCACGCTAACTTTCTAGCAACCGTCCTGCTGCTCCCTGGCGAACACAGGCACCACCACGCCACAACACGTGAGGTGCCGCCCTCAAGTGGCCACAGCTCCAACTACTTAGAATGGCTGCACGCAACGCTTACTGGTTGAGGTTGATATTTTAAATAAGTTTTATTGATAATATATTGAAAAGAAATGTAATTGAGTGCGAGTATGTTCTATGAATAAGCTCTAAAAGTTTGTGACGATGGTACATAGATACGGATACATAATGTATCCGTATCTATGTATGTATGCCTAATACGGATGTATTATGTTCCTGGACATTATCTATCTTTTTTTTTATCTAAACTACCGACCTGTTTTTTATTTAAAAACAATGTCTCCAAAATTTGTTTTTAAATAAAAAAATTGGAGGTGGATGATGTCCAGAAACAGGATATTGAAGATTTAAATGGTACTTTGTGTGAATGGTGGTACAGTGTTGCAAACTCTTGGGAACCGATGGTTTTTGAAGTAAAAGAATTTAATTTAATTGCCAGATATATCCTGTCTATTACATAAATGAATGCAATTAGACATTTGTTGCTGTGAAGGAGAAATAAATGTTAATTGTCCCACTTGAAGATTTCTAACACCAATAAATAAACATGAAGGTCGGTAAGATATGTGAAATCACAGTGTGCTTGAATGAAATATGTGTAAACCATTCATCACCAAACACATGGATCTTTGTGCACAGACAGGTTTCTGAAGGAATATGATGGGAGTTCCAGAACAACACAAAATCAAAAGCAACTTTTCAATCACTTTCATTTATTGCAAGCTAGTAAAAAAGACGACATTTGTACTGGAGGACATAACTATTGTCTCTAAACATGCAAAATTCCGGATAGTGTCCTGGTTCATGCGTTTCATCGACAGATTCTTACCGTCCCACTCAGTGAGGCTTCAACCACACCGGTTGGTCGCTACTCTTTTACCGTCCTTCCTTTCTCTTGCCGTTCTCGCCGCTGCCGTCGTTTGTCGTTGGGCTTGCAGCTAGGTGGGGCTTTAGCTGGCTCCACCGTTTCTCCAACTCCACCACTTCTCTTCACTATGGAAAAGGGGTTTCCGACCCGGGACTTGGCCGGGATTGTCTATGGGCGCCAGCAACTGTGGATACAGCTGCGAAGTGAAGGGAAATTGTGGATGGGGTGGGGAGCTGATGGTGATCGGCTACTCATGGGTGGAGTGAGACTCTGGCTCATGTCATTTTCGGGCCTTACCCCGACGAGGAGAAAAGAACACACTGGAAACACAAATACTTGGCACCGCTTCCTTTATTGTTTTGTAATCTGGTAGTCACTGAGACACAGCTCAGATCGTTACTTGGCTACTCTCGGTAAGGGAGAGCTCGGATTCTACAAAATGAACGGGTTGTTGGTACTTGGTTACACTCTCCTGCAAGCCTTGTCACAATGCACTGTTAGCATTATTGTGTAGCACTTGGGGACTTGTACAGGTTACACAATCCTGCAAGCCTTGTCACTATGCACCGTTAGCATGATTGTGTAGCACTTGGGGACTTGTACAGGTTACACACTCCTGCAA